TAATTTTAAAACCTTTCCTGGAAGTTTGTATTATACATTTTACTAGACATATTTTTAAAATTTATAACCTGGAACATTCCTAAAATAGGTACCGTTATACCTTTTACTAAACTTCTTCTGAAAGTACCAAGCAGTGTGATTTTGATTACAAAATCAGAGTCCTTAGAAAGGTAAGAGATTTATTTCAGATTAAACTCTTACAACATCCTAATTTTTGTTTTTATTCTAGTTTTTAATCTATAACTTAAAATTTTTATTGTTAATAAATAACTGTGAAAGCTATTAACTTTAGCCTCCAGCAAATTTAAAGTCAGATTTGTTGGTTCATGATTTAGAAACGAAAACAAAATATAACTTGAACTATGAACTTTCATACGGTTATTTATGTTTTCGCATGAAAAATAACTTGAAGGTTGGCAAATCTCACTACTCATATAGTAACTATATGCAATTTTAGCATAAAGATATGCAACACAAATTTCTAAATAAAATTATTTGAAATTTCGTCAAGTTTCACGGTTATTTATCACACTTCTACTAAATCATTCTTCAGTGTAATAAATTATAATTATATTTTATTCGATTTAAATCAAATATAAAAGAGAACGACATACTGCCTTCTGAAATACCAGTTGTATCCCAGGGAGAATGATGTAAACACCGGAGTACTTGGACAATGTGTCCAACCTCCGTTGAAACTGATTTAATTTTCGAACTACAAAATGGTCCGAAATAAATTTATAATATAAAAATGCTTGTCAATAAGCAGAACGAAAATTAATTTATGAAAGTACACAGGATGTAAGAAGGCGGGCCAAGCTGATGACGGCTGTAGATAAGAGTTCAATTACGATGAGATATCACAATCTAAAAGTTCTTGAGTAGAGTTTCACATGAGGCGTTCACAGAATCAAAATGCTGTACCACATGATACAAAAATACCATTTTTGCAGCCTTACATCTTCAAAACGCCCTTTTTAAAATATATATATACATTTAATTCTTAGAATACGATATTGCACCGTCTTAGTAAAATAATTGTGAGCTTCAGTTACAAAAAGACTCTCCAGCATTATCGCCGTTTTGAAAAGCAAGTCCAAGTTTACATTCTCTCTGCATGTCATTTAATATACTTTTCAAGCTTGTGGGTTTTTACTTGGTCTGGAGATGTTAATTAGTTCAAAATCCCTAATAGTCGGGAAGCGAATTATCATTGTATCTGAAGTAATTACAAAGTCGTGAGAATGTTTTAAACAACCATTTAATTTAAACAGAATTCAGAATATAAACGAACTCTCTTGTACTAACAAGATCAGTCGCAGCTCATGGTGATGCAACTAAAAGCACATTTAAATTCGAGTTTAAATGTCGAACAGTAGTCAAAGACTGCACAGTTAAAATACCACTCGAAGCTGGCTCAGTAGTTCTACCGAAGCGTCAAAATCAAAGGGTCGGCAGCGGTAAAACGCAAAGCCGAATAACAACAACTATCACAGCTGGCAGGAAACGAACACGTAGAGCAGAGACGAAGCTGTAACACATTCTCTGTCTTAAAATCCAAAAAATCTCAATTTAAATACTGGTTATCTCTTTGCATTCTGGTGAGGAATACAGAAAGGACAAGTTGTAGTAAACATCGAAATTATAAAAAATGGTTAATTTAAATAATAACCTAGTAAGTTAACTGCGAGTCCTTGTTACTTCCATTTCCCGTCTCCACTGCGGGCTGGGGTGGGGGGTAAAAATACTCAGAAGTCATACAATTCAGAATCCATAGTACAACTGATTCTCCAGAATGAAGAATTTAAAAGTATGTAGTAATATTAATCTTAATATAAGATGTCAAATAAAGCTTTATTATAATATACTGTCTAATACAATACAATATCAAATGTATTTCATAACATACATGCAGGTATCTCTTGGCAGTACCATTGTCAGTAATATCTAATTCAGGTAGCTCATGCGTTATACAGGATTTAAGGACATGAGCAGATGGTGCTTGGGCAGCTATTAAATTCTAGGAATAAACCTTTCCTTCGAGGTCTACTGCTCTAGACTCCTATGTGTGATGAAGTAAAGTATCTACATTTTTCTACCAGCATTCTTCCTTATAGTAGGGACCATCCAAACTTGTACCCTAGAGAAAATATCCAAAGACAGACGTCATCAATGTCAAACGTGTAATCAGGTTTAAGGGCAAATGTGTTTTCTGAGACAGAATGACCTTGTTTATAAAAAGGCCAGAGGGAGTGAAAAGGAGATGTTTACATATCTCTCACTTTACTTTCCTTCGATGTACAGATAAGGAAATGATCGGAATAAAGGTTAATTTCATAATTTTGAAGCAGATTTTTTTCCCTCTCTGCTCTCTGTCGAAAAACTACTAAAGAAATTAGTATCTTTTACAGCAGAGTACGGCTCAAGTTTTCGGTGAAAGGCCCGCATAAGCTGCCTGCCTTTTTAAAACATTTAGTTTCTTAATTTTTAAGACTTATTAATGTAATATTTTATTGGGAATCCGTGAACTTTTCAAGAGGTAAATATTACATATACTACAATATCTGTTAAAATGATCCTTAGCTTCATCTGTTAGGACTTTTTCCCCCTCGAAATTTATGAAAGATCTTAATTCTGATTCTAATTTAATTTAATGTATTCGAAGTTTTATTTAACTATTTTCTTATACTATATTCTATCTTTGCACTTAATGAAAGAAAAATAAGAATTTGATCTGCAGACATATTTTGTCTTTATTAAAGGAAAAAAGTGTTTTCATTGTAAAATAATTTTTTGGAATATTTCGGATTATTTTTGGACTAAATACCGTAAAAAAAACCCTTTCAATTAAGCAAAAAACTAGAAAACAAAGAACTGATTGCTTGCTGTGTAAAGTCTTAGTGATCTTTTCGGAAGCATCCACAGTAGACCCTACGTACTAAAAAGACTGCATAGCGAATTCTCGGTATGTCTTTGAAGAACAGCTACTGCAAAAGAAGGTTTAAATAAGCTTCTATTTGAGCTAAACGTAAAAAAAAGGTTGCACTCACTCGGTGCTTACAATTACCAGCACTAGCGGTGAAGTTACTTGTACAGATAATAAAAATGTGAAATCACAATAATTTAAGATGGCTTAACTATTGGTTCCTTTTTTATCTAAACCTTTAAATCGGTTGCACACAAGAAAGCTGGGCTTAGATATAGTATATTGATATCAGTATAATCGGAAGAGGGTGGCTAACACCAACTATAGAGCTATTTCAAAAGCAGCAGCATAAACTCGGAACTAACTCCGCTACCGAACTCTTGAAACCGCAGCTTAATTACTGTTTCTGAACTCAACTTAGATTTGCATGCTACGTCATTAAAATTTACTTTTCGGCAGGAAACTGAAATCAGGAAGGAAAGGAAAGTCAAACTAAAAATAATTGGTTAGAATAAAATAAAGTCTTTACAGTCTTTTGAAAAAAGCAAACTATAATATAAATTTCTTAAGAAATAATACGAAAAAGATTTATTTCTCATTGAAAGCTAAAATAGTTTAATCCCTACATGAAATGAATTAATTTGCTATAAATCAGCTGTTGAATTTATCTTTATTTAATTAGTTTTGCCTAACTTCTATTTGTATATATTACCTAAAACTCAAAATCCGTTATGAACTTATAGGATATTTCTCCCGCCTTCTTAGCATGCCTTCGTGGTGTAGTGGTCAGCCAGCTCGAAGCGTATTTGAGGGGGCAGTGATTCGAGTCCCGGCGACAGCATGGCTTATTTTTCACATCTCCTTCTTCAAAATAATTTAATGACTCTACAGTGGCGCCCGAACTAAAAGGTGGTGAATGACGATTCTTCATCATCAGGCTTTGGCCGATTGGGTCTCTAATCCCTAGTCGCCCTTTAAAAGGTGGAGTGTATAAGGTATTTCTCTCGCATTCTTAGCATGCCTTCGTAATGTAGTGTTTAGCACGCTCGACGCGTATTCGAGAGGTCCGCGGTTCCATTCCAGGCGAGGGCACTGCTCATTTTTCATCTCTTCTGCTTTCAAAAATTATCTAATGTCTCTACAAACTTATTAACAAAAAATAAAATATTTCAATAAACATTCGCAATTTTCAATTTCTACTAATAATAACTAGATGTCATTAGATTCGTTAGTAAACTGACGATTAAATTTGCTAACATCTCTTCCTTGAAAGACGCAACTCGAAATGACGGTTTAGCTACCTGGAGTCTAAAATTTTAGAGAGAAATTTAAACTTCGGAGAATGCAAAACTGTCCTTGTTCAAAAATTTAATTTAGCAAATAAATATAGAGGTTAAAATTTCAGATATGTTTTTAAAAATTAGTTTTTTAAAATATGCACGAGTATGTTAGATGCGTATCAAGTAAATAAACGAATATGCACGATAAGATTTTGACTTGCAGATAGTACAAGTATATTAAAAATATAGTAAGTATTTATAATATACAACTAAGTATTTATACTAGTAATATTATAATAGTAACAAATAAGTAATGTGTAACGTACGTATTCACTATAAAATACGTATTAACTATAAAAGTATGTACAGTAAGTATTTACTTTCTGTTGCACTATATATTGCATTTAGTAATTTATATTACGTTTGTTACTTTTCGCTTTCATAATTTATAGATTAAATGTGTAAAAATAGTAACAGAAATTCACTATTTATTGCAAACATGTGTGATTTTTTCTTATTCTGAGTGAATACTGAAATTTTTCAATCAATACCTTGACTTTCAATACAAGATTTAATATTTCACTACATAGTTTACAAGGAGAAAAGTATTGTCAACACAAAATTATTCATGGCATGTATTATGTAGTTATTCATAACATGTAACTAAGAAAAATTCACTCACTTTTGTAGAACTAACAGATTCTTATTCTGTTGCTGGTTGACCTACCCATATTATTTATTTTAACTACTGTATCTTTAATATTATTTTGCGTAATCTCTGTTGCTGCATTTACCTTGGATTCCATGCCTCCCAAACCAACACCTGACTTTTCTCCAAACATGATGTTACCATTTAGTGATGGACAGTAGTTGTGAAGGAGACGTGCTCCATCTTGTCCTGGAGGCAAAGTATAAATTCCATCAACATCTGACATCAAAATCAGCAGATCAGCTTCAACTTCAGCTGCTAAGTGAGCAGCAAGGCTATCGTTGTCTTTGATGTTCATTACTTGCTGCAGAGAAATGAAATTACATTATCAAAATTTTACATATTCACTAAAACGTCATCACAGCTCAACATTATTAATTGAATAGCATCACTACACAGTCAAAATTATTGTAGGCGCATACTTAACTAGCAGATATATTATACAGCTTGTTTTTGAGTTTTCAAAATGTTAGGGTTAAGCTTTTGCAGAAAACGTTTTTGAGGCTTCAAGGGAATGAAGCAGACTTCTGTCATAAAAATGGCAGCAGCTTTATACAAGCCGGCACCTGGGTAAAAGTATAGTTTACGGTACCCCTTGCGAAACTTGGCGATTTTTGGCGATACATGGATACCGATTTTGTGCAATTCTTTGACTCGTTATTTTGGCTTGCGAAGCGGCGATTTTTGGGGCAAAAAGCCGAAATAACAAGACAAACAATTGCACAAACTCGGTATCCATGTACACATCGACTTATTTTCACTTAAAAAAAATCCCCGAATTGCACAAAAATGTCATTGCGCACTCTTTTAACTTTATCTATGTACACATCGACCTATTTTCACTTAAAAAAAATCACAGAATTGCACAAACTTCCATTGCGCACTCCCTTTACTTTTTCCATGTACACATCGATATATTTTCACTTAAAAAGTCAAAGGAGCACCAAATTCTACAATATAGGCAAACAAAATACATAATCTCAATAAAATACATTTTAAATCAAACAATAAAATAACATAAAAAAGGAAAACATGTTATACATTTAAGCACTACCAAAAGCAAATATTCACTTACCATGATTTTCGAATTCGCTTCGTATACCCAGAGCCACGTAAACAACCAGGTACTCTTTCTGATCAAAAGCTTCACATAGTGACCATCTGAACCTTTCTTCGTACAAACCCATTCAAATCCATCTAAACAGTTTTTACGGTCGACTAGACGCATATCTTTCCTATATACAGGACACTTATAATAGCTACTAAGTAAACCTTCATTTACACACCAGTCAATTAACGCTCTTTTCCCCTTTCGCTCCAAATCGTACAGAAACTTCAAATTACAAATTAATCTTTCTACATTCGGCCATTCTACCGTCTAAAGAATCAAACGAACACACACCACAAAAACGCTTACAAAACATCCCATGATTCAGAATTTCCCAGAATCATGCACCCGATTACGTCACAATAGGGTTTCCATAACCTTCAACTACTCAGGCTACCATAAATGAAACAACAGCTTGGCGATAAATGAAATGACAACTTCGCCATAATACAAGGTGTACCTTAAAGTCTACTCTACCCGGCATATGCTCAAAAAGATAGAAACCCTTATGAAGGTGGCCCGGCATAAATGTGACTGATTATAGAGTTAAGTTTATGGATTTATGGAGTTTAATTTACAAATTAGAAATTTGACTTCATAAGGGTGCAGGCACCTTTATGCCGGAATATGAAAGCTTCTTCCATAAACGTATTGGACCTTTATAATGAGGTACCGTTATGAAGCTGTTACCAATCTACATCGAGTAACGTTTTTCGTTGTCTTCCTTGTAAAATTACTTTCCTGCTACAATCAACAATAAAACATAGTAGCAACTACAAATTTCTCTAATAATAAACTTATCAGTGTTTCTCAAATATTGTTGCTCCGTGTACCCTTTTCACCATTCCTAGATCTTTTCCCTCCTTTCTTTCATAAACTCAACAAATTCATATACATTTAATTCGATTTCAATTACTTTTTAAAGTGTTTTATAAATTAAATGATAAGAAAGAGTAGAAAATATTGATAAATGTAAAAACTTGAATAAAAGTAATTTTTTATATTCGTAAATTAAAACTAAATACTTAACAGCGAAATAAAAGGCTGATTACATTGCCCCTTGAACCTATGAAATTCCTCCCAGCGGAAATTGTACCCTGGTTGATAACCCCTAAAACAGATATATCTAGTTGTAACGAAAGTTCTCAACCAAGAAACATTCTAAATAAAGTTTAAAAAAAATGAAACCAGTACCTTTAGTGCAGGTAGTAATCACCACTCAAATCTATGACTTTCTGCCAAAGTTTTGGTAGTTTTCAAAGCCTTCGTCTCAGAAACTTAGTGGCTTCGAGTCCCAAAACAGGCCAATATAATTTCGGATGTCCTCTGCACAATGGAACATAGCACCAGCAAAACGTAGCTGTAGGTGTGAAGAAAGGTAGAAGTCCGAAATAGCGATCTCCAGGCTAATGGTGGGCGTGGCAAAAAATCCCATTCGCGTCCAGCCGGTGAATGCAGATACTTGTGGTCTTGCATTATCTTTTTGCGCCGGAACTCACTCCGACGTTTTTCCTTAATAGCAGCGTCAACACAGACTAGCATCTCGCTGTGTACCTTACCGTCGAGGATTTTACTTTTTTTCCAAATGCCATAGCAATGGCACCAGATAAAGAACACAGTCTTTTAGTTAGACAAATTGCCCTTTGCGACTCTGCCGACCGGACCACCTGGTGCAGACCAACCCCGTTTTCGGCCCATGTTGTTCTAGTAAATCCAATTTTCATCACAAGTGACGATCAAGTCCAGAATTTTCTCCTTGGGTTGATGTTCGAGTAGGTTATTGCAGGTCCGAAGACATCTATCCTTATCTGCTTGAGTCAGCTTATGCAGCATCCAGCGACTGAACTTGTACGTCAAGTTTATTCGATGCGTACCGCGACTAATGGACATGGCACTAACGTCTAACTCCTTAGAAAGCTCTTGAGTGGTTGCCATACTGATTTTCTTTCATTTCAGATACCTTGTACTTAATGATAACTATTTTTTTTTTTCAAACTTCAGGAAGTGTTCTAAAGCAAGTCTCTTTCTTTCAAATGCTAAAAAAACGTTTGATAAAATGTGATTACCAACAAGCCAACGCGAACTATTTGCGCATATGATATTCGCGGTGGCGAGAAACTTCCGTTGTAGTCCGATATATTTCTTTCCGTTATTTATTTTTACAGCCAAACACCAGTTTCAAAATAATTTTAATATTGTTAAACAAACAAAATTTCCCTTCCGCTTAATTTTTGGAAAATTGTAGTAGCGTAATTCCTTTTTAATGGACAAGATGTATTGTTGTTCAAACTGTATAATTTAATTAATAATAGCTTTCATCCTTTAACTGAATGGAAGAGATTCTGTTTACTTTAAATGAGCGACCTGTTTGATGAGATAAAGACTACTCCAGAGTATTTTGCTCAGAACAGGAATTAACTGAATTTTCTTTAGGTCTTATACTGATCAAACTCAAATTTATTTTTGTTTTATAATTTTTATTTTGATACTGATGTTACTGTAGACTTTGAACTATAAAAATTAAGTATCGGTGCATAACAATTATATCTTCTCATCTAGTATGTGAAAATATGTTTACATGACAGCAAATAATTCTCAAACCATCTGGAATATTTTATTAATTAGATGTTGTTGCCATTGTTACTATTTCGTAAAACATGCAGAAATAAAAAAGAATAAAACTCATTAGATTTTAATTTGTTATTTAAATAAACAGGTTGATACTAAACTAAACGGAACTCCAATAAGTGAAACAAATGAAGACCAAGTTATGTGCAAAGCCGGAAAAGAAATAAAGCATTGAGAAAATATGGGCAAAACCCCTTTCTATTCTGTAAACTTTAAGGAAACATAAATAAAAAGTAGCTTATATACAGGAACCAAAAGAAAAAGAACAAAATCTTACGGACAAAAATAAAAGAAAAAATGAATAAACAAAAGAATTAAAAAACAAATATATATATAAAAGATAAAAGTGATACATTTTAACAATGTAAGATTAAAAAATAAAAAAAATTGAAGAGATTATTCACTGTTGTTTATGAAATAGAACCAGAAAGGATGTAAGGTTTATATTAATTTTTCTAGTGGTTAATTTTGAGTTCCCTTTCCTATCTTTCCTGAATTTCAGCTTATAACTTCCGGCCAGAACGTATTTTCAGAATCTCGGTTGAATGCAAATGAGGAGAAGAAGTATTTAACTGTAAAGTTCTACTGACTTCGTTAGAGAGACAAAGATTCTGATTATCGCTCGTTCGCCCTTTAGGCTATTCTCTCACAAGCTATTATTACGCTCGGCCGTACTTTAGGCCCTTGATAGCTTCGCCGTTAGTTAGCGTTAAGGAACCAACTGTTAGAATCTTGATAGCTTCGGCTATATCTTTTTAGTTAGGTTTAGTTAAGTTTTATTGCTTATTATTCCTGAGTTCAAGTCCAAGTGGAGGCTTCATTGTAACTCCAAGAAGGAGTCGTCTGTTAAATTTATTTTTGAATAATAAAAGGTAATTAACCCTTCGTACGTTTACGTTTCTATTTGTCTGAAATAAGCGATTATTCGCTTATCAGTTCTCAACGTTTCATACGCATTGCAGTACATTCAAAGTTTGGAATCTTACAAAGAAAAACGAATTTAAGCAATATAGATGAGGAAATATTTATCAAGTTGAATTAGATTTGCATAATCATAATGAATGCAATAATCATATTGCAAACACCAGTATTTCTTTGTCAAAGCTTTAAGTTCAATAGCTCTAAGTTATCACATATTTGAATAATATGTATTTTTTTTTCCAGTACATGTGACTAACAAGAACAACTTCGAACTTACGTAAGTCACAGTGATAAATACAAAATTTAAAAATCTAGTTATCTTCCCTTTAGTGTTATTACAGTTAATGGCGATTGATTCATAAAAAGATGTTACTTTTGCTTCACTTGAGGTTCGAACGAAAGTAACAAGCATACTTTGGAAAGTCTAGAGCTTAATAATGCTGTATCATTCAAAAAATGAATAAATAAATAAATAAAGTAAAATAAAATAAATAAAAGGGACTGACAACCAGTTAGTATGAACCTACTTTCTGCATTAAAATTAATGTTTTAAAGAAAAGCACTAAACGTACTGAAAACGACATGTCCAAATTATATGATAAACACTATAACGATTAGTATAAAGAAATTATGTAATTGCTGAATTTTATTGTTGATTTTATATTATGTAACATTAGAACAAAAATATTATTTGGAAGACGACATATTAAAATTTACTTATTTCTTATATAATTAAAATTAATGTGATTTAAAAATATTTTCTGATTTATAAGTAGTTCTCATGTTATTTGAGCCACCTTGCATCAATATGAATCTTGATTTATAGTGTGAGGCCTTTCGTAAAGTAAGTGAAGGTACTTTGCTCCAATCTTCGTACTGCTTCCTCTAAGTCCAACCAATGTTTCTCTATCTTTGCACTACTGTCCGAAGTCGAACCAAATTTTTTATCAGTGGAAAGGTACTTAACACTAGAGATGGATTAGAAAACATTTGAGGAACATGAGCGAGAATTTGCAACCGATGCTTGTCACCAGAACATGACTTGTTGATGTTGTTTCATGTAATATTTATCTCAAAATAATCTTCTGGTATATAAACACCGTTCACCGAAACAATAATTTAATAAAATGGAGCAAATATTACAGTATCGAATGGTAATCCCAAATGAGGTATTATTACACGGGAATACTTGTGAATATTTCATGACAGACTCTACAAGCCTTACAAAGATATCGAGGATTTAATTTGTTTCTTATTCTTATTTTTAAGAAATTTATTAGTTGTTTGGACATATGACAGGTAGTTTTATCCTGTCGAAGTTCTGTATTCCTTAATGATGCTGTGGATTAATGGACGAAAACTCTTCAAACATAAGAGTCAAAATATTTTTATAATGCGAAAATTAATTGTTAACATTTTTTTCGACTATTCTAAATTTTCTACTCTAAGAGGTTTCTACGAATGATTCAAAAACGTATCTGACAGATTTCTTTTATGAACACGTGTCTCATAAAAACTTTAGAGCGATTCTGTTCGAATCCGAGGTTACAGCCGAAAACATAGAGGCAAAAACATCGCGGACGAAAACGTCGCAGAGAAAATAACGCAAGGCGAAAGCGTCGTGTTACAAAACATCGTGGGAGAAAACAACGCAAAGAGAACACATCGTGATACAAAACATCGTCGTCGAAAATAAAGCGGTTTAAAAACATCGTCGTCGAAAATAAAGCGGTTTAAAAACATCGTCGTCGAAAATATCGTGGTAAAAAATAAAGTATCTACAAATCATCGCATGACGATAACATCGCACACATGATTTTTTCAGGCTTTAATAACTGTAGATGGAGATTCCCATAATGATTTGTGAGCGCAAGATGGAAAGAAAGATAATTTTTACTTTCATATTTTTTATTAACTAGATGCAAATGCTTGTTGCTGAGAAAATAAGAAAGGAAACTTAAGCATAGAAAATTAATGCAACTTATAGCACTCAATAGTATTTTAAACCGACAACTAACAATTTTTATAAAGTTTTTACTGGTAATTTTTCATGAAAAGTATAATCTATAAGTTGCATTTAATTTTCTGTGCTTAAGTTTCCTTCTTACATTTTCAGTAAAAATTTATTAGTCAATAAAAAACTGTGAAAGTAAAAATTATCCTTCTTTACATCTTGCGCTCACAAATCCTTATGGGAACCATATTTCCATTAACAGTTATTAATGCCTCAAAAAAGCATGTCTACGATGTTATCGTCATGCGATGTAGACGATGTAGATACTTTAAGTTTTACCACGATATTTTCGACGACGATGTTTTTAAACAGCGAAGTTTTTGAACCGCTTTATTTTCGAAGACGATGTTTTGTACCACGATGTTTTAGGGCTGCGATGTTTTCTCTTTGCGATGTTTTCTCCCACGATGTTTTGTAGCACGACGTTTTCGCCTTGCGTTGTTTTCTCTGCGACGTTTTGGTCCGCGATGTTATCGGCGGACACCGAATCCGACGTAGTAGTCTCTGAAGTCTCAGTGCATCCTTAGACTTATGATGGAAATGAATTCAGATGTTAAGCTCTACTGCCGGAGTTTAATTATGAAGGAAGAATGGCATACTTTGACAGCTGAGAAAGATGAATGCAATTTATATTGATAAGCTCAAACTGCTTAAGAATTATACTGCATTTAATTGATGGACGATGCCTTTACCCCGGTTTCATCGTATTTAGCTCCAGAAGCTGTGTAGTCCTGGGGGGGATCTGGTGGGACAACGGTGTCGTTGGTATTTACTATTGGTATTATGTTTAATCCCAAAAGTTCTTGGACTGTGCTCTTCAGGTTGAAACGGCTATCAGGGTTATAAAAATCTGGCTTAGTAACAAGCACCTAAAAGTAAAGATTAAAGATTTTAGTTAGTTCTGTCCAGTACTATCAAATTTAATGAATTCAATACATATTAATTAAAATGTAACATATCAAATGAATCCATCTATTTCTGCCTCTCCTGGAGAAAACGTCGCTGATGTTTTTAACCTCCGCCAGGCCGGTTTGGAACGCATTAAGGGACTGGTAAGAGCAGGAAAGGAAATCTCCTGCTATGAACCAGTATGTTATTAAAGTAACAAATTAAGCGAGATATCGAGCTGCGACACCCCTAAAAAATTCCCGTTTTCATACACAATTATAGTTTCATATCCTTATGACTTCACTTTCGTGTGGCTATAATATGAGTCTCTGCATTTATGATACTAAAGCGAATTTAATGACAATATGTGAAATTCTTTGGTAACATTTAAATATTTCAAGAATGTCTTAGGCGAAATGAGATTTAAGCTAATACGAACAAATCTTATAGAAATATATGTTTTGGAAAACACAATATAACTCGTAATAGGATCCTGTTTCCTTGTGTTGCAAAATGAAGGTTTTAGGAATAGAAATGTAAATTTAAGGTTTAAGCACTGCAAACCTAAATCAAAATAGACCAGGCTTTACCACTGTGTTTTAGAATAATAATTAATCAGGAAAAGGGATTCATTAAGAAACAGTTGTATTTATTGTTGTTCATGAAGAAACAGTTGTATTTTCAGACTATAATTTTCTTGTATCAAAGAGATTATTTAACATTATACTTATAAAAGCAAAGTTGTTAAGTTTCAGAATTCATTTTAAAAATCTTTATTCTCTACAAAACAAGCGTGCAGTGAATGTTTTCCTTAAAAACGAATACACAGAATTTTTAACAGCTTTTAATATGTAAATTGAATATGTAAACATAGTACTGTATATTTTAGCCAAAACGTTATATTTCAAATACGTGACGAAAAATAATAAATATTTTTTATTTTATAAAATTTTCATACATTTACATTATTTACCATACATTCAGATTTTGTTTTCTCAGTTTATTATTCTTATTAAAATGAAACATCTTTTTCGCCATTTGTTTCCAGGAAGAAGCTTGTGTAAGCAACAAACATTTTTATTGGTACTATTTCAGTAGTTTCCAAAAGAAAAAAATCATATTTGAATCAATGCATACAATATTTTTTGAATACTTCTGTATGCTTTATTTTTAATTAACTATTTTTGAATACATTGCTTTTAAAAAATCAATAATAACGTCTGATTTACACTAAGTTGTTGGGTACTCAATAAAGGAAACATGGCGTACATTAGCAGTTAATGTTATCAGTCGGAAAATATCGAATAACAGTCAAAATATTAGAAGGAACAATAAAATAAAATGCCTCAAGCTCTATTTAAGGTAAATTATTCCTGATTGCCGAGATACCTTTTTATATCACATAAAAAAATCTCTTAAAATCTTCTAAGATCTAAGATAATCGCTGTTTCAGTAAAAATAATCTAGAAAAACAGTTTAAAGGATTAGCTAGACAAATCAGATTCATATAAATTACAGTGAGTTGCTAATAAAGCTGTGGCACCATCAGTAGGATATCAGTGATGTTATTTTAAATGCAGACAAAATAATAAATAAATAAAAAGTACCATTGCAAAAAATAAGCAGCATCCACATCGATGACCTGACAATGCTCAGGCAATTTATGATCTTGCATTTGTAGAAAGGGCTGGCCTAGAGAAGCTAAGAAATCTGCGAGCCATTTACCTCGGCTTTATTAATGAAGGCCTCTTCCTGAAGAAAGCAGCTCGGAGATGAGATCAAAAGTTGTGTCAGTCTACTACTTCAAGGCCTGAGCTACGTATTGGATCAAGTAGAACCTCTTAGCTTAGTTCCAGTAATTTCTAATGGATGGCTAGACCCCGATGAGGTTTTCAGGAATAAAATAGTACTGTGCCTCTGTAGAGTCACAATAAAATTTTCAATAATATGTTTTAGTTGTTCTACAGTACATATAGATGGATTCTCGCTTCGGCTTAGACCTAGGCAATTTGCTTCTCTTCTTTGAAGCTTATGTGGCTTTCGCGGTAGTACAAAGGCGACATTTGTCATTCCCTGTGATGACGGAATCGAGCCAGCCTCCACTGTAGTGGTAAGATAGCAGTGTAGATGCTGATTGTCAATGAATTGCTGTTCTATTCTTCAAGCTTTTTTCCCATGCCATATGTATGCAGATGGCTGTTCAAGGAGTTATTTACATCTCTAAGCTCTCCGTAAGTTCAAGCACAATACCTAGCTTACACGCCCCACGTTCATGCGCAGTGCACACGTTGCTGCTGTGATCCCCTGCCATCCTGAATGATATTGTTTGGCAATTTGGAATGAACATGGCAATTTGTTTTGAAAGCCCTGAAACTGGATTTCAAGACGAAACAATCGAGAACAAAAGGCTTCATGAAGCCCACACTAGAACTCACATTTAAAGAATGCGATTAATTAGAAGGAAATTTTATACTGCCTCATACCTTCTACGAAAAGATTTGAAGAATGTTCTGGTGAAGAGATTTTTGCTAATTTTTAAAAAGGCCAAGATGCGATGAAAAGAAAAACTGTGACACTAAATTAAAAAAACTGTGACACTCATTTCAGATTTTAACTTAACTAATCAAACTCATTTAAGATTTGAAATAGCGCATCTGTTTTCATCTCAGAATTTAAAATGTTAGAAAAATATACATTTCTTTGACAGTTTACTCCAGCCATGAATTCTAAAGCTGGTGACTTCCACGTTGTTTCTTTCACCAGTCAGTCAGTGCACAATACTAAAATTTGCCGTCTTGTTGTGGCTAATTTCACTTGTCTGATCTAATAAGAACAAGCCCACAAATTGTATTTTGGTAAAAAGTGAGTCTGTCGTTTGCACCACGGTCGGTTGCCTTCACCACCATATAAGTGATAGTAGGACTTACACTAAAATTCTAATATCAGTAGTGGTACATTTCAATAAATATTAAAATAAACCTTTATTAATTCATCATCTATCTGAATTTTTACTATTTAAAACAGGACTGGTAAATAAATTAATTCAGAAGTTTCTCTTAAATAAATTTCTAAAAGTAGACTAAGTGTAAGAATGACGTCGTTTTCATAGTCTTAAATTTAATCTACTGTTCTTATTATTATGCACTAATGAATGTCTAAACGTAAGACTCTCACTCAAGTGTTTTGTTTCAAAAGAAACTAATTTAATGTCATAAATGCGGACATACCTGTGCAATGTTGACACCATACTGCGAAAACATAACATCATAAAGAGCCATTAGTCCACTTTGACCTACTGCAGCTGCGGCTCGCGGCTCTGCCCTTCCAGTTACTGCCTGTAGGTGATACAATGTATTTTATATATATTAATAAACTATACACTAATACATTCCAAGACAAGTTTATGTAAAAGTACAGGGTGTTTCAAAATTGATTGCACAAATAAATTGCCCTTGAATGATTGGTCGCATATTCGTAGTTTCAGTGCACGCAGTAAAATAGGCTTTCAGACTACGACAAGAAAATCGAAAATATTTAGTCGAAAATTGATTATCGAAAATATTTGGTCAAGTGATAGCTTCCAACCAATATATAAGAAATTTAGATTTTCATAAAGTCTTTAGGGGTAAACGTGGGAGTAAAAATTATTTTCCATAACCAAATCAGTTAAATGCTCATTCTCATACAATCAAAATTACCCTCGGTATGTTTAATTAGCTATTTTTTGGACAGTATAAAAATGCTGTTAAAGATAATCACGAACGCTAAATTTGCGAACACGGGTACTTTTTGGGGTAAGGTAAATGTTAATTTGGCAGCACTGGCTTCAAATTCCCATTAGCAGAAATATAAAATCTGTAAGTTTTTGTTTAAAGAAATATAGTTTTATAAAAATTCCAGAATGACGTTCTATATATCTGGTGAAACTAGTTGAAGTCGTATTATCCTGCCATTTTTTTCCCACATTTGGATATTTTAGATTCCCTTTTCCCCGAAAGTATCTTTAGCAGAATGAAAAACAAAAACCTATCTAGAATTTCCTTCATAGAAGACACGGGAGGAAAAAGGAGAGTACGCTTTTATTAAAAGGTGACACGGGATCAAAATTATAGACAGCCCGAAAATTTACCGCACTTAACTCATTTCTTAAGCTGAAACTATATATCGGTAACAAGTCATTCACTTTGTATATACTTGCAGGCTTTTTGAAATGCCCTATACATAAATAACTGCAATGCTAATCTACAATATTTAATCTAGCGAATATAGGTAATCTAACTAATATTCAAAACCGTATTAGAAGACAGCATTCAACATTGATTACCTTAAGGTAATCAATCAATTTTATTAAGGTATTTACTTCTTGAACTGTTGAATATTTTCATTACTTTGTGATGACACAGGTAGCGAGCACAAACAGCTGCTCCTTTACTTTGAACTTTGCTGTCTTTCACGGAATAATTTATTTAAAAGTAATAAAATAAGGATTAAAAATTAAAGAATGCAGCACTTAAAGCAGCTTCAGATTGAAAATTTAATTTTACGCAATAAATATTTTTTACCGTAAAGATAATACTCGTACTATCCTAGAAAGTTTAAGAAATATCTAAATGTAATATTATATTAAGAAAACAATCAGCAACGATATTTATCATTTTGAGCTAGGTATTAGTTAAAGATTTTATTAGAATATGTAATAAAATTTGCAAAGAAATTTTTTAAAACACTTATGAAAATCTGCAGATTAATTATTCATATTTTAATACTTCAAATAGACACGTCAGGGATAATTATTTAAACATTAATCTTATAAGGTATTTTTCCGCCTTCGAGCCGTAGTGGTCAACACGCTCGACTCGTATACGAGAGGTCCGTGGTTCAAGTCCCAGCGAGGGCATTGCTCATTTTTCATGTCTCCTGCTTCCAAATAACCTAACGTCTCTACAATCTGAATACATGTTTCGTCTTTCTTGACTATTTGAGTGCAAAAATATGTATTAAATAAATATGATCACAAAAACACTTTACAAAATTAGTTACTGCCCGTTCTGTAAGAGTCAATATACCCCAACGCGAATTCACTCCGTTGGAAAACTGCAAAAATAACACAAAATGTGCATTATTGTAAAAAATGAAAAAATCCCAGATTCAAAACCTCGTCTTTTATATAAGAAAATTAAAAATAGTGTAGAGTCATAAGTATTTTTTTGAAACAAGAGAGATGAAAAAGGAGCAATGCCCTCACCGGGACTCGAACCATGGATCTCCCGATACGCGCCGAGTGTGCTGGCCATTACACCACGAAGGTATGCTAAGAAGGCGGGAGAAATATCTTATATACTCCCCCTTTTAAAGGGCGACTGGAGATTAGGGAACCCAGTCGCCAAATCCTGGTGGTGGAGAATCAGCATCCAACATTTGTTTTAGTTCTGGGGCCACTTAGCAGGAGAGAGGAAAAATTATAATGCCCTCGGCGGCACTCGGACCACGGACCTCTCGATATGCAACGAGGGTGCTGACCATTACACCACGAAAGCTAGAAAACGAGAGAAATACCTTATAATAGCAATGCGTAATTTTTCAAATATGTATATGTAGGATATAACATATGTAACTCAAAATTACTAACTATATTTTGGCTGCGCTCCTTTTGATTCCTGATTTTGGTTTAGCTACGCTCTCTTCGTAGAATCTAAACTGAAAACAAACTCGCTCACTTGAAGACTAACCGGCATTATGTCATCTGCAATGCCGTAACGTCCTCTTCAATCGCAGTCCAAAGTTAAAAAAGATTCAACTCTTGTAAATAACCTCCTTGCTGAAATGCGCTATCACTTTATTACTCCCTCTTGCCCTGCTAGCGCGTGTCTCATGGCTTCGTCGTATCGTCTTTTGTCTTGAAATGTAGAAAGTAGTATGTAAAATTGTTGGGTGTTTGAGGCACCCAAAAAATAATTATTCCATATGGCGGGCAAGGCTGTTCGCACTTTTTTAGACGAATTTATGGAATTCTATTTACGGAAATTATTAATTTCTATTTACGGAAATATTTTGCATAAAATTTTCATGTTTTAAATGTTTCATTTGATAACCGTTATTCTTCACTGTTTTTCTACACTGTAATTTCCTAGACAATAAAGCTTTTCTTAGCAGCGGAAGAGATATTTTAAACCATTTCTCTTGAGCAGCTTTCCAAAGTCCAAGGAAGGTTGTAAGTCTACATTTGGACATTCCGCTTTTTAATAGTCCAAAAGCGAAAAAATCCGTGGATGATACATCAGGAGATTTAGTAGGGATATGAGCAAAGGGTATGGCCTTGATACACGTTTCTTGCTCCATTTCTTCCAAGAAATTTACTGTAGATTCTGACGTGCGTCTGCATGCTCTTTCTGGATGCAGTTCTACTGATTGTTGGCACTGCGGGTGAAGAGAAGTTATTTCATATTTGAAATTTGCGTATAAAATATGTTACCGATAATATGTGGTGTTGACCTGAAGAGTTTTCTATACTCTCTTTAATTTTTATTTGTCGTTATATCAAAAACCAGCAACAATCATAAATCCCTTACAAAAACTTTCTTTAGATTCTTTGAACCATGTTCCAAAATTTTTTTTTCTTGTCTTTTATGACAATAAGTGGATCATATATTATAGCAGTCATTTAAATATACCCAAGATTCATCTATTGTTACAAAATTTTTTCGTTTTTGCAAGAACAATTATTTCTCATATAGAATTCTGCAGAGCGTTCTGCTTTCGGCAATATGCTGTGGAAAAAGACGATGCATGTTACGTTTTTTCGCCACTTTTTAAGAGTCAAATCTGCATTAATCACTTTGTTTACAGTTGACACTGAGCAGTTTAATGATTATGCAACTGACCTTTGACTTCGAACATTTTCTTTTAACATTAAATTTCTTACCTTTACCACATTTAAAACATTCCGTTTTTTCCTTGGATATGTATTTTGAACAATTTTTCTCCTTGAAGCGAAACTTCGACGTTTTCTTTCTTTCTTCTTGACAATATTATCTATCGTTGCTTTATATACCGAAAACTCATGGCTTTCACAGCATTTTTAATGACTAAATAGGAATAATTTTCTTCAAAAAGAGCTCAAACATAGCATTCCGTCCATTTATTTTTTAAAGTTGTAGAGGCATTAGATTTTTTTTTTCGGAACCAGGAGATATGAAAAAATGAGCAACGCTTTCAATCAAACCACGGACCTCTGGAATACGCGCTCAGCGTGCAGACCACTGCAACACAAAGGCACGCTAAGAGGGCGGGAGAAATACCTTATATACTCCCCCTTTTAAAGGGCGACTGGGGTTTTAGGGGACCCAATCGCCAAATCCTGGGGTATAGAGAATCATCATCCACCCCCTTTTAGTTCGGGCGCCACTGTAAAGACATTACGATTTTTGGAAGCAGGAGTCATGAAATATGAGAAACGCCTTCGCCGGGAATCGAAACACGGACCTCTGGAATATGCGTTCAGCGTGCAGACCACTACACCACGAAGGCACGCTAAGAAGGCGGGAGAAATACCTTATAAAGTGCCATTTTGAGTGAAAATAAAGTTGCCAAATAGCAGACGATAATTTACACTTTCAAAAATATGACTGCACTTAAAAAATATTTTTCCAAGCAGGCGATTTTTTTATAGCAAAGCAAAATGATCTAAAGAATGCGCGAACAGCCTCTGTATACAAAGCTGTGAGTCATATGTATTCCCTTAGTTGTACGGCACATAGAAACCCATTAAATATGGTGTATTGAGCACCTTGTTTAGGTCCCGCAAGAAATGGAAATAGTAGTGTTTACTGGCGAACACTCTGTTCAGAGTTCATAGTGATTCTCAGCCCTCGTACATTTGGCTAGATTCAGAGACGCAATATAATCTTGCCCACATCGCTGAAAAGGGTAATTATCGGGGTGCAGGCATTCTTGTTGGTGTGATACCATCTCAGAGTCAGGAAATATTAGCATGTACTGGAAATATTAGGATGTGCAGCAAAAAACAAGTTTTATAAAAATATCATACTGCATTAGATTGTGAGTAATTTTAGGGGTGCATTCGTTTCTCCTTTCCTCTTAATGGAGAATAATTCATATCTTGACAGGTCTAACTTATTTCAGCATTACCTGGAATTCGAGGACATTAACACGTTTGGTAAAACCACCCGTTTCACCCGTCTCAAACCCCACATGCATGAGATGATATTGATCGCCAAGTTGCAAACATAAACATCCGTCACGGACTACTGAATTTCTCAAAAAAGTACTTACTTAAGAAAGGGATCACTTACCTTATCAACTGTTAGATTATACT